TATTACACTCTGATGAATATAATCTGCAGACTAAATCTCAATTTAACAACAGAAAAGCCAACAATGCTTTTGTCCAATAGTTCTTGATGTCAACTGAATTTAGTAATAAGTTTTCCACAGGACCCTAACAATTAATCCATCAAACACTGGTTGTGTAGAATATGCTATTCTGTGTCTTCCAGCTTTCATACTGCTGCCCTTTAACCAAAACTCGTAAAAAACACCTGTAATCCCAGCACTCGGAAGGCTGAGGCAGGAGGATCGTTGCGAGTTCAAGACCAGCCTAGGCTACAAAGGGAGTTCAAGGCCAGCCTGAACTGCATAGCGAGACCCTGTCTTAAAAGGGCAAAAAAAAAAAAAAAAGTATAAATGAAATGTGACTATATTGAGTATTTTTATTTTTTTGCCTTTTTCAGACAGGGTTTCACTACGCCGCTCAGGCTGGCCTTGAACTTACTTTGTAGCCCAGGCGGGCCTCTAACTCACAGTGATCCTCCTCCCTCAGCCTCCCGAGTGCTGAGTACCGGGATTACAGGCATGTGCCACCATGCCCAGCATTATATTGAGTATTTTTAAAGAATACGCAATATTTTATTGAGTATTTTAAAGAATTTTTCACTTGGGAAGACTTTAGAAATTAAGAGTTCAGCTGAACTTAGCTAATTCCCTAAATACCTACTCCCTTGGAAAAAAAACTTCAACTCTATAATAAAACTCTAATAAGAATAACCAAACTTCAACAAAGCAAAGGCAGAACATTTCTGCTGTCACTGTCACTTAACGTGGTACTCAAGAAGTTTCTATCATGTGGGAGTTGATCGATCTGGACTGAACGAAGTGCTCAACATAGAGGAGCTTAAAAGATAAACTCAGCTACTTTTAATTTACTTTCAATAATACTTACATTTCACAATCAACACATTAGATTATATATTAAATAGCATCAGTACAGCCTAGAAGTTTAATCACTACCAAAAGCAGTCCAGGGACTTTTAACATGAAATCCATGGAGACCTTGGGAATTCACAAGTAAGTTTGGCAAGAACCTAAATTCCCAGAAGTCATATATTAAAAAAATAATAGGCCAGGCGTGGTGGTGGTGGTGGTGGCGCACACCTGTAATCCCAGCACTCAGGAGGCTGGCCAGGAGGACTGCCCTGAGTTCAAGGCCCAGGATGGCCTATATAGTGAGTTCAAGGCCAGCCTGAGATACACAGCAAGACCCTGTCTCAAAAAAACAAACAAACAAAAGAAAAAAATTAAAAATTTAAAAATAGTTACTATTTCCTAAGACTACATGCTATAGTTTTCATGATTAATTTTGAAAAAAATGTCACCATATCGATGTAACACATAAAACTGAAACAGATTGAACAAATCTCATTTATGCGTTCCCAAAATAACTAGTTCTTCTTTATGACAGGATAAAGGAGGAGCTCCTATTTTTCCGGTAACTTAATCTGAATGACTTTTACCTTTACTTGCTCAGTCACTCAGAGCTTTAGCTTTGGCCAGAAAAAAGAAATGTAAATTTTCTGGCTAAAAACAGAACTGCCAAGACTCAGTCAAACAAAATGCCATATTCATTCATTACACTACTGCATATTTTTATGTTTTCTGGGTCTTGCCAGGTAGTTCAGACTGGCCTCAAACCCACAGTGATCCTCCTGCCTCAGCTTCCCAAGACCTGGGATTAAAGGCATGTGCCACCACGCCTGTTTCTTTTCTTTATACCCTTGTTTGCATAGCACAACTTGGGGAATAATCTACAAATGACCAATAAGCAATTAGTTAAGTCTTACAAAAAAGGGGGGGAGGGGCGTCACTTCAAACATTTACTGTTGGCTGGAATTAAGGCTGCGGATGAGGGGAATCAAAGTATTTGCATGAGAAGGGGAAGATGCCTAACATACCAAGAAAAATACACAATAAAAACAATGGTTGTTTATCCTGGCATGGTGGCACACCTGTAATCTCACCATTCACAAAACTGAGGCAGGACGATCACAAGTTTGAGGTCAGCCTGGGCTACACAGCAGGACCTTGTCTCAAAAAATAAATCAATTAGAACAAAAAGCCAGGCATGGTGGCACATGCCTGTAATCCCAGCACTCCGGGGGCTGAGGCAGGAGGACTGCTGAGTTCAAGGCCAGCCTGAACTATATAGTGACACCTTGCCTCAAAAAGACAAAAAAAAAAAAAAAAAAAAAATTAAAAATAGTGGTTTTGTGTCTCACTGAGTTGCTCAGGCTGGCCTCACACTTGTGGTTCTCCTGCCTCAGCCTCCTGAGGAGCCAGGATTATAGGCATTGGCCACCATGAATGGCTCTTTTTTCTTTTTTCCTGAGCTGGGGATCCAGCCCAGGCCCTCACACATGCTAAGCATGGCATGCCCTTTACCACTGAGCTACATCTCCAGTCTCCAAAGACATTTTCTTTTTTAAAGTAGCATGTTTTAAACTACTGAATCAACATCAAATGCATGATGACGCACGCCTGTAATCCCAGCACTCCGGAGGCTGAGGCAGGTGGACTTCTGAGTGTTGAAGGCCAACCTGGAAGCCGGGGATATAGCTCAGTGGCGTAAGGGCCTGCCTGGTAAGCACAAGGTCCTGAGTTCGATTCCCGGTACCAAAAAAAAAAAGGCCAACCTGGACTACAAACCAAACTGTGCTTGGTACCACTCACCAGGGTGTGCCAAGAACCTAGATTCCAGTGTGGGAGTGACCTGTTCACAGATGCCAATGAGTGTCTCCTGTGCATGAAGATCTGGGAGGACAGGTGGGACATTAAAGTCATCTGAGACGAGCCCATGCCGAAGGCAGCGCAAGAGAAAGAGATGCCGCCCTCCCGCAAGAGACCCCCTCTTTCGGGGTTGCTTTGCACAAAATTTGTTGGCCCACCTAACAAAGGAGCCATGTGGAGGACGGTTTAGTAGAAAATCCTTGCTTCTTCACTTTTGCCCTTTAGTTCAGGTTGTGCATTGCTTTATTTGGTTGGAATGAAATTAGCATTGAAAAAAAAAATAAAAGTAGTGGTTGTCTAAGGAGGGAATGCTGAAAGACAGCTGAGGGAGTCTTAATTTTCTCTATGTACCCTTGCAGGCATACTTAACCCTTTGGCTTGCCTGGGCTGCACTGAGTGAAGAAAAACTATCTTGGGCTACATATAAAATGCATATACTGGGCCGGGGATATAGCTCAGCAACACAGCGCCTGCCTGGCAAGCGCAAGGTCATGAGTTCCATTCCCGGTAACAAAACAAAACAAATAAAAAAGTATATACTATAGTTAACATACATGAACAACAAAACTTCTTGTTTTTTTTGTATGTTATTACATTCTTTTAAAAAAAGAGGGCAAGCAGCTCATAGGCCACAGGTTGGACACGCCTGCGAACCTTTCTACAGGTTGTGCTGTAAAGTCCTACTCAATAGTACAAAAGATTTGACGTTTTGTTTTTTAATAAACTTATGGTTGAAATAAGACTTGAAGGTGAAGCAGTAATTAGAAATTGAATCCAAGGCCTTCCCAATGAAATACACTCCCAGTTCCTTTTGCCTGAGTCTCACTAAGTCACCCAGGCTGAGCTCAAACTTGGTATCGTCCTGCTTCAGCCTCCCAGTGTTACATTAACAAGCATGCACCACCCCGTCCAATTTAAGAATAAGGCTTCGGCTCAGACATTGCTTCAGATAGAACCTACAGTACTGTCAAATGATGATACAGAATAACAACTATCCTAGAACTTTTTTCCAAAAAGAGAAGGCTTATTCAGTCAATGTTTCAGTGGCTATCATGTGCCAAAAATTATTCTAGACAGTAAGGAGCAATGTCCAGGTTACTCAAAAGCCCTCATCTATGTTTGAGCAATGCTAAGTGCTATATAAAACAAAGGGAAATGGGGATAAAAGAAGCTGATTTAGGGGCCGGGTGTGGTGGCGCACACCTGTAATCCCACCACTCAGGAGGCTGAGGCAGATGGACTGTTGTGAGTTCAAGACCAGCCTGGGCTACAAAATGAGTTCAAGGCCAGCCTGAACTGCATGGTGAGACCCTGTCTCAAAAAGATAAAAAAGAAAAAAAAGAAGCTGATTTATAGAGAGCAGTTAAGGCAGGCCTGAGGATACTCATGAGCAAAGAATGCTACAAAGCCAAAGTGCACAACACAACAAACAAAAATGAAGCCCTGTGACAGGAGTAAGCCTCACCACTTGCTGTTGAGGGTACAGCACAACAACAGCGATGCAAGAGATAAGCTCAGAGAGGAAAGTCAGGATTCTATTGTGTGGAGAACCTCTATAGAGTTTTTAGCAGGGAAGTAACACCATCTGTATTTAATTTACCTATCTTTTTGTGACAGGGTCTTGCTCTGCAGTTCAGGATGGTCTTGAACTCATTTTGTAGCACACGCTGGCCCTGAACTCAAACGATCCTCCTGCCTCAGCCCCAAGTGCAGGGATTACAAGCTTGCACCACCAAGCCCTGCTACCATCTGTATTTTTAAAAGATAACACTAGTCTAGAAATAGGCTAATACAAGCCAGGTATGGTGATGCAGCAATTGGTAGGCCATGGCAGGAGGACTGCCACAAATTCAAAGCCAGCCTAAACTACACAGCGAGACTCTAAACCCCCCCCCCTTTTTTTTTAAAGCTGGACACTATAGAGCATGATACTTGGAAGCTGAGGTAGGAAGATCGTACGTTTGAAGACAGCCTAAGCCACTTACCAAGACACTGCCTGAAAATAAAAAGGGCTGGGGATGTAGCTCAGAAGTAGTAGTACTAGGTTCAATCTCCAGTATCCTTCCCACCAAAAAAAGGTAAAGTAGGTAAACATAGCAGACCAGGCAACAAATTTTTAAAGCAGATATAGCACTTCAGAATTAGCCACTGGATTAGATATGAGAATCGGAGACAGCACTTGGGTGAACAGGAACTCAAAAAAGACATCTTCTACAGATATAGTCATTCACAGTTGTCAAGGTACTGATACATACCTCTGTCATTTCCCAATAACAAGAGACAGGGGAGAGTCACACTGGTCAAGATCCAAGTTCTGCCTCTTGCCAGTTTAAGACCTTAGGAAAGTCATTTGAATCAGTTACTAGACTGTAAAAACATACTGTCTAGTTCACAATGAAGAATTTTTTTAGTCACAAAATTCCTGCAAGGATCAAATGGCTAAAGAAACTGGCAACTGTAAATATGGACCATTATGATGTAAGAGCATCACATTAACATTTGTCCAAGTCAAGCCACCTTAATACTTCCATTCACTATGAATAGTAACACTGATATATAATCAACACTGAACAATCACCAAAAAACAATCCAATAAAAGAAGTTATGCTTCTATCACCTCAAGACAGTACAGCTACCGTCCACCCACCATTATATTCCCCATGGAACCTTGTGTAATGGTTGGCAGAGTGGTAACTTTTTAAAATAAATTCTAGTACTAAAAAAATAAGCTGATCATAGTGGTACTCTTCTAAGAGGCTGAGACAGGAGGACTGTAAATTCATCAAGACCAGTCTGGGGGGGCTGGGGATTTAGCTCAGCGGCAAAGCGCCTGCCTGGCAAGCGCAAGGTCGTGAGTTCGGTTCCCGGTACCAGAGAAAAACCAAAAAAAAAAAAAAAAAAAAAACCAGTCTGGGCAAATTAGGAACTTAACAAGGCCTTGTCTCAAAATTTTTTTAAAAAAAAAGAGACAGATCGAAGCGGGATGTAATTCACTGTGAAGGTCTAACCCCCAGTATATCTTCCACACACAAAAAAAGCATTTTCAGCTGAATGTAGCACACTTGCCTTGCACTTGAAAAGTCCTGAGTTCAAATCCCCTAGTACCAAAAGAAAAGGTATTTTCACTAATTATCCAACAGCCTACATACTACAACCAAGGGCACTAAAAATTTTCAATCTTTTAGTCCTGCAGAAAAGTGTCCTGGACAATTATAAAGGATATTAAACTAAAGTCACAAGATTTTAACTTTTACTGAATAATATCAAGGTATATACTTTAGAGATGCCATCAATAAAATAGATTAAGATTATAATGCAGAGTAAGTTAATCATTGTCTTAAACAGTTAAATACATATTGTAAATTTAACTGTGTGCTAAGGGAATTACGAGAACTACTTATTGCAGCAAATAATTTCTATAAATTTATAAAGAGGTTTCACAATTTATTGTATCATCCAAGGCTTTATTACTGTAGAATAGCTTCCAAATCAAACAAAAGTGGAAAAATACCTGTTTAGTCCACTGTATGTAAGAGAAGTAACCTTTTGCAATTTGTTATGTCCTTAAATCTATAAACTAAGTAGCAATAAACAACTCTACGGTATTGGCTGCCCAGCTCTCATTTTTCCACTGGGGCCTCAATAAACACAATCACGGGTGACCACGGGACTGCATCATAACTAAAGCTACACTGTAAGGACTTTCCTATGTGTTTGACAGTTAAACCTCCTCCCACAGAGTCTGAGACAAATGTGTAACACAACAATGAAGGTTCAAATTATAAGTCTCCGGTGCTCACTGACAACCTATCTATTCTCTCATTTCTAATTTCGACCTCATAAAAGGTTAAACACATTTTGGTCAGTAACCACCCACACCCAATCTCAGCTAAACTTGTGACTGCACGAAGCGCTACCCGTCTTAATAACGCATCTCTCTCAAAATGTTAGAATGAAGATTAAATACACGTTCACCAGGCTGTATCGTGGCAGGTGTAGTTGCAATTTAGTTACTTGAACTGGAATGCTGAGCACTGCAGATGTTCAACTAATTTCTTTCATAAAAACTCACCAAGAAAGAAATTTGAAGACTTAGTTTTCGTGGGTTGCAAAAAGACCCAGCAAGTCTGAGAACTCGGCGATGTTATGTAAAGACTTTACAAGACCAAGGCAGGGTATTTTTCACGGTGCCGTATGTATGTGACAGAGTATAAAGCCAAAAGACGGTTTAATAGTTAAAGCCACAAGATCGCCCATCACTGCGGTCCTCGACACCGTCTGTTAAAACTACCTCCTGGGAATAGAAACGGCCTGAAAGAGTTTGCCAACCGGAGCGAAATCACTTCGCGGCGATAATGAGCGGAAACGCATTCGGAGAGGAGCAGATCGCGGAAGCGAGCGCAGCGGGGCGCGGGCCCCCAGGTCCCGGACCGGCGGCAAGGGGCG